TTGTGTTGTTGTACCCCAATTATATACGTTTTAAAAGTTTACCCGCTGTTTCGCTGCAGTTATAAAGACCAACATTGTGGATTTAGTAGTATTTTGTATCTGAGAGACTAAAAGATTAAACTATGTTGCCTTAATCGGTTCCGCGAAGAATAAGCTCATCAGAATTTTATTTGTAATCCCAAAAACTTATCTTGTTTCCGTCGTAGCATAATGTACATAAAAAATTACGCAATTCCAATTAGCCTTTCTCACGATGACGAATATCCGCCATTTTTGGGTGGTATCTAATTCTCGTTAACCAATTCAGATAATTAAAACAATGTGAAAAGCAATTTTTCAAAATAAACCAACCATGCATTTACAAAGCAAATTTACCATCACTCGTCCAAAAAATTATAACGGCGACATCGGCTGAAAAAGCCACCCAAAAATGGCGGCGTGAGAAAGGCTATTTGGCTAAAGTAGTGTACTTTGATCGAAATACATGCAGTGAAAAATAAAGAAACTATACCTGGCAAGCGCCTAAACAAAAGACGTTTGATACAAGTTTTTTTATTTCTAACAGTTTAAAATTGTTGTATAAGTTTTTGTACCTTTCAAAGGAGCGAGTAAATGATTCATTTCGCGAGAGTTTCATGCACCCATGCCTCTGGGTAATTTTTTCATGTAAATTATTGGCATAGGAAATGGCACGTCTGTCTAATATAATTTTATAGTCGACTTTTCGAGAAATCAATGACAAGAAATATTGTATTAATGTATTCAAGCGAGCACAGGCATGCCGGCCTTTGTGCGAAAAACTGTGAATAATTTTTATTTCATCTTTTTCTTTTATTCAAGAGCTCATTGCAAAGTAGAGCTCAGAAAATATAAATTTCGACGTTGTTTATTTAGATTTTGTGTTTAAATTAATGCATTTACGTGAGCGTGCGGAATGCACGCGGGCTCGTAACCAATCAAAATCGAGTAAATTGACTAAAATTATATTAATAATTTTAAGACTTCAAACGACGCTATTATCTATACCTACGTTAAATGCTCGCCTCCGAAAAGTACGTCATCTTGGCCATATAGCCACGTTATGCTTTAACTGCCAAAGTGACTTACTTTGTGGAAGGGGTGTATTACAAGATAAGCTTTTCTTTGGAACTATTTCTTTCTATATTTTTTTGAAATTCTCGAATAGCTAAATATTATTATCATTAATTATCGTTTCCGATTATTGCGTGGATATGTCATGGCTTTTGTATTTAATGCTCTAAGAACTGTGGTGACGTTTGTATATAAGATAATGATAATAAATATTTCTGATGTCAAGAAACCTTGTTTAAATTAATACTGTAAATTTTACGTTTAAGGTGGCTACCTACATTTTTTAAAAATGATTTGGACATGAATTTCTGGACAATAATTATTTGTCGAAAAACAAAGAGTGTCTAACTTGAATAAAACAATAACTAAGGAGTTCGACATTTTTAAAAATTTACTCCTAACAACAGTTGCTATATGGCAACAATGACATTTCAATATGACGGATATTCTTGGTTTAAAGTAATTTTATTAATTCGAAAATAAGGCGGTGACCCCCATTTTTTATTTTATACCATGATTTCTTCAAGTATATTGAATCGTTTTCGTGATTTAAAAAAAATTTTGTAAACAAGCTCTATTATGAAATAAAAAATGGGGGTAACTGACCTTATTTTCAAGTTAAATAACTTCATAAAACCCAAAATATTGAGGCGCCGTTGTTGCTATAGTAACGGCAGTTGCCATTCCTTTTTTCGAAAGTTAGTGTTCTCTGTAGTTATTATTTTTCTAATCGGACTTTCTTTGTCTTTTAAGTTATGTTTAAAGTAATTTAGTTCGGAAAAAGGTCGGTTACCGACATTTTTATTTCATTGAATGATTTCTATTGGTATTTTGAAATATTTTTTTAAATTTAAAAAAAATTCTGTCATGCCGAAATTTCCGGTTGGGAGTAACTCGCAATCAGACCAGAAATGGAAATGCCGTGTTTGAAGATACAGGCTCGCAAATGATACCCTAAATAGCGCTGTTTATTGCGATTCGAACAAGCCTATTACAAAGAGGACACGTCCGAAGGGGCCGAAGTTATGTTCGGCGAAAGGTATGGCTAGTCTATATTTTTCTTCAGACAATTGCATAATTTCATAATATACGATCTCGTTTGACTTACAAAGCTCATAAATCGCTATAATGTTGACATTGACTACAGCTATCGTTAGGAATTAGTAGATATATTTATACACTGAATCGAATGGTGGTATTTTCATCTACATAGCATTTAGTGAACCGAAGATATGCATGAACCTTGAAAAATACTATTTCATTTCTGAAATAGTTTTCTACGGGCTTGTCAAAAAGGAGTTAAACTTAAATATAAAATATCCACCATGTTGTGACGTCATTGTTGCCGTAGCAACGGCAGTTAGGAGTAGTTTTTTTTTAAACCTCCTTAGTTATTGTGTTATACCACTCAGATAATCTTTGTTTTTAATTCTCCAGAAATTCGTATCCAAATCAGAAAATCTTTAATTATTAGAAAAGTGTAGCGAGCCACCTTAAATCGAATATACCCCCCTAGATGTGCCAACAAGAAAGCTTCATTTCAACATCAATGCCAGCAAATAATTTTTAATTGATCAGCAAAACAATTTTTATGACAAACTTTAATGAGAATTTATTAATGCAGTGTTGGCCATGGCTTCATAAAAACTGTTTGTTGAACTGAACTTATAAATATTCCTCTAATAATATGATTATTTTCCCACTCCCAGCCCAAATTCTCGACAAATACAAACAATGTGTATTTCTCAAATACAGTATCACCAATATTACGAGATATATCTTAATTATAGTTATGACATTCTTGTGCCTTTATCAGGGCGATAACATGCAAGGTCAGGGTGACATAAAAACGCTATGTCGCTGATATCGTTTTTGTCACTGCATGATATCGCTTATTGTCCCGCTGTTTTAATAATGCAGCGTTCTCAGCGGGGTTAATGGAGCGCTTTTATTAATAATTAAAAGGGCTCAGCTTATCTCATCATGACGATCTCGATTTCCTCCTGGGGCAAATACTTCAGCAGATATATCAATAGTTGCCCTATTACTGATCGACATGATATAAATACAACAGCCAAAATATAGTGGAAAGGTAAATTAAATTACCTTGCCGCATATATATATATAGCGCTTTACACTGGAAATCAATTATAGCGCATTAAATTCGAAATCAATATTCGTTTGAAGACTTCGATTCCCGCCTGTTTACTGTGATATAAAATTTCAACATTCATGAGATCTTAATTAGGGACGTTTAATAATTTTTCGCGACGTTCTTTAATTTACATTAATAATTAATTTTGAAACAAATGATAGCGATATTACATTTATTAAACGACGTTTCGATGCTACAGCGTGCATCATTTTCAAGTTATAGTATTACATATATTGTTGATTTTAATTAAAACATTCGTGTTACGTTAGCAAATTATTGCGTAAGCATGCAAAATTTAAATTTATATGACGTAATAAATTACATAAATTACATTGAAAAGAAAACATAAAACAGATTAAACATATTTCTGCATATTTTTTTTCATATATTTTTTTTTTAACATATTTCTTTATTTCACGTTAGCAATAATTTGCTAACGTGACATGAACGGTTTAATTAAAATCAACGCAATATATGTAATACTATAACTTGAAAATGATGCACGCTGTAGCATCGAAACGTCGTTTATTAAATGTAATATCGCTATCATTTGTTTCAAAATTATTTTCAAAAAAGTTTTTGATTAAAAGATTAATAATTAAAGTGAATTTAATAACTTTTTAAGTTTGTATTATTATAGTCCGTATATATGTGTCAATGGAAAACTCCGTTCTAACTTCGTATTCACATTCAAATATTGAGGAACCGACCATCCAGACAGAAATTTGATTTGCTGCACAAATTCATGGACTGAAAATGGCAAATCAGGAAACTTTAAATAAAGTGCTGTTATTTTGGCTTCAAGACCTATCACTAAAAGTAGGCCTAAATGTCTGTTGCAAATATTTTTCATTGCTATTACTGTGGCTGCTATATACAACGGATGGTAAAGATTTTTGTTTCGACGATAATAATGAAGGTAATGCCTAACACTGTATTTCAACTTATGTAAAGTCTACTACAGTAACAGTAATTAACTGTAATGTAACTTATATATTTCCTATATTTTACAATAGAGAGGTTAAGATGACGCGGTTTACGGGTACGGGTGATATACACGAACCCGTATCTGTAAATCGGGGAACGACTTGTAACTTAAGAAATCCAAGATATTCCGGCGTGACAAAACTGGTCAGAGAATGGTGCATGACTTTCGCTGTTGAGGTTCGCCATAGACTGTTAAAAACTTTGACGAGGATATGACTTTTGTGTATTATTTATTTGGGTAAGATGTTAAAGTTTTTTACTATTTTATACGCCCTGCAAATAGTAAACAGACAACATTCGTACCCGTTTGTCTTTTACGTATAGACCATGGTTTACCGCGGGGGAACGGGTAGAAATTACGGCTAAAAATGCTTACATCAGCAAAAATTGGTAAACAAAATGGCAATACTCGTACCCGTAAACCGGAACCGGGCTATCTTAACCTCTCTAATGACTAGAATATCGTTCGCACTTAGAGATTTGTGACACAATTTTGTCACCCAAACACAGCAAAAACGTCTGCGTGCGCACATGTAAACCTTGACTGAAATTTGGCTTGTGAGGGGTGGTGTCAAATTGCTTCGAATGTTGTCGAAGACTCGGGATAGTGTGAGACAAAAATATGATTGACCAATCAGAGGACACCAATTAGTCAACCAGAATTTTTGCCTGACGTATTCTCAACTAGGAATGTATGTAGTTTCGTGTGACCAGCTGTGGCAGGAAAAGATCGCTCCGTGTGACAAAAGTCCATTTTCGACTAGGCGAATTTGTTCGCGCGTGAGCGAAGCGAAAATAAATCTTGACATTTCCTATAGTGGAACATGGGCATATAAGGCATCAAGTCCTGCGATCTTGTGCAGATAGAATATATTAATTTTTATTATTTTCGGAAAACATCAACTCACATTATTTATTATTTTCGGGTAACATCAGCGCGCAGTATGTGGTAAACTTTAAAAATTAATTAGAACAAAACGCAACTTTCAGTTGCCATATCGGGCATACCAATCAACAGCAAAACGTTCACTAGATTCATATATACCTCAATTCATATGTTATTCAATTATTCACGGCAAATTCATATGCATTGTCATTGCAACAAAAGAACGTGCATCCGGCTACGTAATTTTGAAAATAATGGACCTATTACCTAATAAACAAAATTTTGATCTAGACAAGTCAATTAATAGACAAAGGTTTCGTAATATTCCCAAGTTCCGTTGCGAAATGTTGTAAAATGCGGATAATATAGCCCTGCGAAGTTTTTTGTGATGCTCTTTCAAAGCTGTGATAAAATATTTGTCTAGACTTGTCTAGTTCAAAATTTCGTTCATTAGGTAATAGGTCCATTTATAAATGAACGACGTTTCGATATCATCAGTGAATAAATTTCTTCTTTTTAATAACTATTCTGCCAAAATGCCATCAAAAAGCTGAAAGATTGCGACAGTTATTTTGTTCACACCGTGCAGCTAGTATACAGGCCCATGATAGCACTGAAGGACTTAGCTACAATCTTTGACAATATAGATTGGGACAATCTAGTTTTCACATGCATTCGGTTGTAATATACCATTTCCTGATACATAGTTTCCACCCTCCCTCCCCCACCCGTTTCAATGTTAGCGCCGCGTATCCAGACATCAGATTTTTGTTGGCCCAACATTGAACTGGGGGAGCGGGGGGCGCTAGTCCTTTCAAATTATGTGAAATTACTGCAGTTGTCCCGTAGTTTCTGGCAAAGATTGTCTTGGTAGTGATCAATGCAGGTGTTTGGAATTTGGTAATTAAACGTTTCAGTTTTAAGTTTATACCGCCCAATAACATATATTCCTGTATCGAAGCATATGTGGGCACGTTTTGGTAGTTCTAGATACTATCCATTCATTCCGGGGTGTGTGTGTTATTTTTAACACTTTATATACCAGTACAGGTACTTGTGCTACTAGCTGTAATGCTTAATAATAAGCACATTTATATTCACGTCTAATATTATCATAGCTCTCTTGTGAAAAATCCGTGCAAATTTACTCAAAAATTACATGCTGTCTTTGGAATGATGCGAAAGACCATAATTACGAC